TCCATTTTGATAGGAAGGAAGAGTGGAGGAAAGATGGAAAGAAGGGAGGAGGGAAGGAGAATGGAAAGCTGCACTTCTCGCAGAGCCTCGCACCGTGGCCTGCAAACACTAAATGTTTCTTGACTGAATCACACTATTCCTAAAATGTCACAATTAACATTGAGCACTTTTGTTTACTTTACAAATAAGGCATTTTTCTTCTCTAAAAATTTCAGCTGGTTCTTTTTTGTATCATCAGTTTCTCTCCTCATTATATTCATGCTTTCCTTCATATCAGTGAGTATGTGGAGCATATTAACAATGTCCTTGCCTGCTTATTCTATTACCCCTGCCATTTCTGGGTCTGATTCTATTGACTGCTTTGCCTTTTTCTCCTGATTATGGCTTACATTTTCCTGTTCCTTCATACGAATATTCATATGTAATATTTTTACTGGATGCCAGATTGTGAATATTACAGTCTTTGGTGTTGGATTGTGTTGTTTTGCTTTAAAGAATGATAAAAAATTTTTTTCTGGTAGTTGGTTAAGTAACTTGGTCATCAGTTTGAACCTTTTAAGCTTCTTTTAAGTTTTGGGATAGCATAGTATAGCCTTGACTCTAGGGCTAATTAGGGCCCACTTTTAAAGTATAGCTATTATGGGGTTTCTAAAAATGTCATTGATATTTAACAAGATCTCTCCAACCTGCTTGACGGTAATTTTAATTATTCCTGGCCCTGTGTGACTTCTGGGAATTGTTTAGCTTACAGCTCCCACTAATGGTTCGTTTCCTAGAAGTTTTTCTTAGCAAACATCATGGGCAGATTGGTATTCAGCCAAAGAGTCAAGAGGACCCCCATAATAATTTCTGTGTACTTCCCTGGTTCATGAATTCAAGCCCTCTTACACTCTCTGAACTTCTATCTATGTCTCCTTGATTCAGTAATATTTCTGGGCTCTGCTTGAGTTCTGCAACCCTGTGCCATGTTCTGGAAATCACCTCTGGTCCAGACAGCCTGAGTAATAGAAGACTCCATTTTGTTTCCTTCTCTCAGGAATCATAGTTCTGCTCTGTCTTTGTCCAATATCTGAAAATGGATGCTTCCTACCTTTTATCAAGTTTCCTAGTTGTTTATGATAGAAGAGCAATCCTGGTCCCTATTATTCCCTCATGGCCAGAAGTCACTTTTGTTGACTTTTTATATTAACTTCTGAAGCTATAATGTATTCACACAGTCCAAAACTGTGTTTTCTTTTAAGGGAGTAGTGAAATGGGGTGGTTCTTTGATGAAAATATGTGATCAAGGAAATCCATGTTTTAAGTGGGAGTTATTACAGCATGTCTATCAGCTGAGAGAAAAACGTGAACAGGCCGGCCGAGTGGCTCAGTTGGTTAAGAGCTCGCTCAAGAGTTTGAGCTCTGAGCAACAGCGGTTCGATGCACGGTCTGAGCTGAGCTGCCGCTGAGCTGCCAACAGGTGGCAGGATGGCTCAGCTAAAAAAAAAGAAAGAAAAACATGAAGATACAGGAAAGAGAGGAGCTCATTGCAAGAACAAAGCCCTTGAATAGGCAACAGAACAAGGGATGGGACTCAAAACCCATGAGAAGGGGTTCACTTTAGACTGGAACACAGAGACTTCATCCACAATTAAAGGAGAAAAGGAAACTGCATAGGCCTTGACACCAGCAGGCTGATAAATTTTGGTGAGAAAAGCAATCATAAGAGAACATCCCACTGCTCCTTTTTTCCTGGTGAAAATCAAAAACAAGATCATCATCAGATCTCTCTGGATCTCTCTAAGGGAAGCCAGCTGCAACGTTATAACGTGACCTATGGAGAAATCCACGTGACAAGGAGCTGAAGGCCTGCAGTTACAGCCAGGGAAGAACTGAGGCCCTCGGTCCAACAACAATCTGTGAGGAATTTGGAAGCCCAGGGAGTGAGCTTGGAAACGGATCCTCCTGAAGCTGAACCTGGAAATAACTGCCGTCCTAGCTGACATCTTCACTGTAACCTTGTGAAAGACCTTGAGTCAGATGTCCCCCAGTTAAGCTGCATCTGGATCCCTGACCCACAGAAACTGAGAGATGATCAATGTTTGTTATGTAAACCACTAAATATTGTATAATTTATTATATAGCACAGATAACCAAGGAAGATATTGGTACCCAGAAGTGAGATGCTGCCATAATAAATACCTAAAAATGTGGGAGTGGCTTTGGAACCAGGCAATGGGCAGAGGCTAGAAAGATCTAGAGAAGCATGATATCGAGAATGCCTAAGTTGCCTTGAACAGATTGTTAGTAGAAATCTGGATTTTGAGGACAATGCAAGAGGAAGCAAAAGGAAGTGAGGAACATGTTATTAGAAATGGGAGGAAAGGGGGTCTCTCTTATGGAGTGGAGAAAGCTAAGTAACCCATCTGCAGTTACGTGGACCGCATAGAATGTGCCTACTGAACTGGGTGACCTACTTGAGATTTTCAAGCAAGTGTTGAAGGCACCTCTTGGTTTCTTCTTGCTGCAAGAGGAGAGATATACACTGAGGAAAGGACTGTTAAACAAAAGAAACCAGGACTTTACAGCTGTAAAATACTCAGCCTCTCCAGATGGCAAAGGATGTTAAAAATTAAGAAATGGCTTCTAAGCAAAGATCAAAGAAAAGGCAGAGAAGGGCTTATCTCTAAGAAATCTGTGGGCTTTTATCTAATGGAGTAAACCCCAGTAAGATTCACGGGAGGCTGTGTGGTCTTCTGAGAGAATTATAATAGCTGAAACACAGCTAGAGTAGACTGAAAGAATATCAAATGAAACACAGCCACTGGACTCCCCAAACTGTGCTGACTGGAAGCATCCAGAGAAAACTACTCAGCTGCAGAGACGTTCAACCTTTCATGAAGAAGAAAGGGTGATGCAGAGGGCAGAGCCAGGAAACATGGAGAATTGCGTAGGAGGTTGAGGTAATAGAGGAAACAAGCCTAACACAAGGGGTAGGAAGAGAGATGGTCAAAGTGCAGGATCCTTGAAACTGAGATTATATAAAGAACATGCTTATCAGTCATGACAAGGTTTAGAGTATGTTCATGAGAATGGGTGAGCTAGGTGGAGTGAAAAAACCAAGAATAATAAAAATAAAGCATTCAAGATATTGAACATCATCCACGTGGATAATGCAATCACGAAAAATGCAGATAGGACTAATAGTGAAGAAACAAAGTAAACCAGGTGTTAGCAGTTAGTTACAAATGTCCAAACTTCCTGGATGATCCTTGCTTGTTCATCATCCACATTGATTTCTCATCATTCCCCTCCTTCCCAACCCAACCACCAAATTTTCAAGTCCTCAAGTGTCTATATGTGACTACAGACCTTTGCAAATGCTCTTTACTCGACCTGGCTCCTTCTTCTGTGCCCCTCATAGGCTAGGCAGATATTTCTAGTATATGATCCCCACGTCCCTGTGTTTATTCCATCACAGTATTTTCACACCTTGTTGTTCTGTTCTTTGTCTTTACTGTTAGCTCCAGGGGGAAGGGCTGAGTCCCAGCTGTTTCACAGTGGTCGCCACACTCAGCTCAGTGCCTGGTACACACAGTCTGCCCCTTACAAAGGAAGACGAGGATTTCCTTCCTAGCTTTAAGATAAAACATTTAAAGCTGTTCTCGAATAGCACATTTCTATGGTACCTCTCCTTCGGATCCTCTGACAAACATTAATATCTGAGCACAAACAATGCCTTCCCTTAAGGGACACATTTACAGGGCTTTAAATGCCTTATAAACATTAGGGTTGAGTTCCTTTTTAAAAATGTAATTACTTACACACAGAAGCATTTGAAAGATTTTTTGTGTGAATTTCCTAATGTGCAGAGAAGGTGATTTTTGATTAAAAGCTTTTGTGTAGTAACCACCATTACGGATTTTCTCTCCCAGGGTGGTCTCCTTTGTTATAGGGCCAGCACTTCCTCCTCATCTCTGGTCTCATTTAAATCACTTGGAGACATAGTGCCCAAAGATGTGATGAAAATAGAATTCAAGTCAGAACTAGCATGTGACCGTTGGTAAAATATACGTATTAACCAAATTAACCAAATCATACAAAGGATAGAACAATTAATGTGGAAAAAAAACAACAGACTGTTTCTCAAATTGCATGCACTTATAACCCATTTTCTTGTACTAATATTTTTAGAAGACCGAGTTGAAAATAAAAGCAGGTTAAAAGAATCTACTAAATTCATCCTATGAGCAAGTTTAAAAATCTAGTTAATTTATCATAATTTTCTCATTTTTCTGGGTTTTACCATTTAGATGAATAGACAAAAGACTACTCAGCTGACTGAAGTTCTCGGCTGTAGTAGCTCAGTTACTATGCAATTTTGTAATGCTCTGATATATTTATATAGAATACCTTTTTTAGAAAGTGCAGAACACAAAACATAACTACAGTCTATACATATTAAAACTTAAATCCTTACACATGGTCACAGAGCTTTAAAACTGAGCACATTACTCTAGCCTGCAAACAATGTTTGAAATTCTCTCAAATAGGCACCCAGGGAGTTTTTGATCACCATCCAAAGTATTTAGGTCATTGTAGGAATGTACTGCATTGCAAAGGAATTTGTTTCTCTGAGCTAAAATCTATTTTGCTCAATAAAATCTATTTCTACCCCAAACTTCAAATATTTCTTCATCTACCACAGTGCTTCCTTTCTTCTCTCAATACTCAGAAGCTGAGGTGAGCCTCACCTCACAACTTTTTCAGAATATATGCCCATTCATACCTACAATGTCTTTCTACCTAAATCAACAGAAAGAAGAAACCTAATGGAAAAGATAGCTGTATATACATATATACATATATATATATATCTCCTAGAAATATACAGAGATATAAAAGGAAATGTAGAAATAAGAGAGGTTTCGCAATCCACTTCTGCACATGGAAGCTCTCACATTTATAAAAAAACAAAACTGTGTCACAGAAATGTCCAAATTAATTTACTTGATACTTACAGAACATATAAAAGATGGACCTTAAGGTCAGAATTCTTGACGGAATTCTTAAATAATGACTCCATATAACAGATGAATAATTTCAAGTCCTCTTTCATCCAGCACTGTATGTTCCAGTTTGCACCTGAATTAAAAACAAGCTACATTAAATCTGAAAAACATTCTGAACAACTCAGTGAAAGAGAAGAGCTAAATTAAATTTACCAGTGTTCTGATACAACTTCCATTGCCCATCCTGAGAGAAAAAAACAGACTCTACCTAGTGGTATGTGTTTGCCCAAGTCATTCAGTTCCTTTGGCCTTCAGTTTTCCTTTTTTGTAAAGTAAGAGAATTAAATTCAATTATTGCTTCTCAAACTTTTTTTACCCTGAACCACTTAAGTAGGACAAACCCTCAAAACTCACATAGTTTGGTTAATGCTCACTTTCCAAGAGAAAAGGGAACATTAAATATCAAAGTACAAGCAAATTTGGAGCAGCATTTATGTGTCTACTTTAGCAATAAAAGCATGGTGATTCACATTTGAACTATGATGTATGTCTTAAGTTCTTGTTATTGTAATACTACAGGCCCCAATACAACTGATGAAAGTTTATTTCACTGCACACTGAAAAACTGACATGATAACGAAAGATCAACTATTGGTGATTTTTAATTTAGAAAGCCAAGGCTAGCAACAACTGAAAATCATGACTAACTTCAGACAAGACTAAAACTATCTTAAGGGAACACTAACACATTTTCCCAAACCTAAAAGATTTCTAGTTAGGAAGGACTTGGCAGTACCCTTGAGCCCTATGAAATAAACTGCCTACTTGGCAGAATACTAAATGGAAATCTTCAATAGCCACCATTTAAACTAGTAATTTTAGTTACAAAAACTTAAACTCACTTAAAAGTAACAAGTTATTAGCCCTTATTTATACGGCATATAAAATTAAAACATAACAGCATCATAATCATACCTCTTAAGTGAAGAAAGTATTAACACTTTTTATCATTTCAAGGCTCATCCCCAGGACCCTGACTTCTTAACTTCATTCTTAGTACATTTAATAATCACTGGAATGCCTAATTTCCCCTACAAATTTTAAAAAAGAAGTGCTTCATTTAAAATGAAATGACTAGACTCAATTGGAGACACTGGGAGTGATTCTAACTTGTTTTAAAACTCTGATTTTATGGCATATTTATGTTTTATCCTTATTCCTAAACTGATTTCAACACACTGGAGTGTTTCTTCCATCTAATCAGTGGTGCTCAACAGGGGCCATTTGGCGGCCCTCCAGGGAATCGCTGGCAAAGTCTGGAGATACGTTTGGATTGCTACAACTGGGGAGAGACTGGTACAGGCATCTAGTAGGTAGAAGCCAGGGATGCTGCTAAATCCCCTACAATGCACAGAACAGCTCCCCATAACCAAGAATTATCTGGCCTAAAATGTCAATAGTATTGAGGTTGAGAAATCCTGATTAATCCTACATAGGAGTGCTATACTATGTATGCCTTCATTCTCATACTGTAGGTTTCTTCCATCATATTTCTGAGTCAATTGACTCCACTCTATTAGCTCTTCCAGAAGGCTTGGATATAATTTTGTTGTTTATTAATAGATATCCAGATGCAGCATTATTAACTATGCTAGCTACATGCATGGTTTAAAATATATATTGGTTGCAGAGTGATTCTTTGCTTCAACTAATATTATTATTCACAAATGCTTTAAAATTTAACTAATTTAACAGTTTAACATTTTAAGTATTTTATCTATTTAACAAAATAAGTATGCTTTTTCTATTTTAATGCAAAATTAGATATCTACAACACATGTATTTATAGGTAAAAAGAGTTCCTTCATTACATTTTTATTTTATTTTTATGGAATATAAAATAATTTGGGGCTTATTACTTTGGTCACATGATGAGTCCTAATTTTATTACTAATATAAAATGATGATTTGTGTTAAGAATATCATCCATAGACATCTATTTCATACAGAGAATGAAAACATTTTGTTCGATACACTTAAATAAAAGCTAAATCTTGGAACATGAAAATACTTACCTATTTGTTGAAAAACTAAAGAGTTTACTGTTGAAACAAATTCCTTCCCTTCAATGTTGTCTGCATGTACAGAGCAGTTTTTATCTTCCTCACTCCAAAAGCAACAATGGACAGTTGTTTTGGATGAGAAGTTAGAAAAGTAGGTGCCATTTGAATTAAATTTAGCTTCAACAGCTGCCTCATACTGTCCATTCAAATCTGAAGTATTCTTTGAGATTCCAGGAGGCAAGACAACGTCATGGGTTGTATTTGGTGGCATGCAAAACAACTGAAAGCTCCAGGAGGTAATTGGATATGACACGTTAAAGGCTGTTATCACATAAATAAATTCTGCTAGGACATTAAAAAGACACAAAGGAAAATAATTAATCATTTTGACTAAAACATGCATAGGAAGAATCTAAGGTTAAACTATGCAGTGCTCAGTAATAAGTACTTAACTTTTCAAGTGCCCAATTAGCGCCTAGTACACAGCTTTATGATTTGACTGTATGATGTGTTATACTTAAGAGGGTGTATTTATTTATAGAGAAAACGTCACTCTCTAGCACCCCTTTTTGGAAATTCATGCTTAGTTTTCTTCATTAATCTAACATATTTATATTTTAATGAAAGGGGATTATAATTAAATATTTCAATTTCCTTTCTTAAAAAGAATGCTAATGAACTCCAGCATAAATAAGAAATATCTGGATGTGTAATTATATAAACAAATTTTAAAGTGCTGTTTTAATATTTCTTAAAGAGAATAACGCCAAAATATTAACAGTACTTTTACTGAGTGCTTTTAGAAAAACTTTGTCATCAACATCAGGACCGTTAAATGGTCTCCTGACTCTGCCCATTATCTTCTAGATACATGACATCACATAAGACATGCCTTTAATATGTTTTTCAAGAGTTGATGCACAGTGACAGACTTCATACACAGACTTCCATTGTTGATTAAAGACAATTATCAGTTTTTAGACATATAAAAATTAAGAGCACTTATATAATCCTGTACAAAAAGAATCCTCCAAAGTGATACTTGTTTTTTAATAATTAATTCTTTGAAAAGAAAATCACAATTCTCCATAATTCTTTCTTTTACAAGTTACGCAAATAATCCAACAGCTGTGTTACCTTATACACAAACTAATGAAGAATGAGAATTCTGAGAATTTTACGTGGGTTTATATGGAATAAATATTTTGAAGGATTAAGATAAATGTACAATTGTAAGAAAATAGAAATTTTTTAAAAAATCAATTCACATTTTAAATTATAAAAAATATGTAAAAGTATTCAAACAATATATAAGTAATGACTGTTCACAGTTTGGTGTCTAAACCTTTTTATAAATATAAATATATATCAGATGCAAAAATTAAGACAAAAATGATTAACATGACTGATAGTATTATTTTGCCCACAGTGATAACAATTAGCCAAAAGTGAATTCTCATTGTAATTGTGTTCCTTTGCACTTCAATCGTCCTAACACATTTCTAAAATCAGAATATCTCAATGAAAAGAGACTAAATTATATGTTTGGTTTTACAAAACCATGAATATGTAATGTACTAACTAATTAAAAATATTATATTTGCAGGCTGCACATGGAGGACGGATTCAGTTGGCTGAACTGAAATTAGCCTAAATTCCTCAAAGAAGTATTTGAAATTTATGAATGTCATAGAAATAGAAACTATTGAGTCAGTTTAATTAAAAGATGATTCTATTTTGTTTACATGCTTCCTCTGCAAATGATATTTCTTTCCCTCCATATGGACGCTAAATAGCAAGGAGTCCAGTATTTGCATCTGAAACATATATTATCATGGTAACAATATCCTGAGAACTCTTCTGATTCACAAAACTTGATCAAACCACAAACCTCTTGGAAAGACAATGTGAAACATTTGAGTAGAGCCTAATAAAAATTAAAAAGATAATATAAGAGAGATAAGTATTATATATTATCATTTTTGATCCCTTGTGGCATAGTTCTGTATTTTGTTTTGTTTTGTTTTGTTTTGTGGAAACTGGTAACAGTGGAGTTATACTGGGTATTTTCTGTAAATATATAGATGTCTACAAATGAGAATGAACAGTATGTACAACAAGAATGCTTGAGAAGCTCATAAGAGCACCTTTAGATTGGAGTAGCCAAGGAGATGCTCAGAACTCATTAAATACGCAGGTAATGGTTGACAGATCAAATGGTTTTTGTTAAAGATAGCCTGACTTTAATTTCAAAACCTGGAACACAACATAAATTAGATGATTTGAAGTTTTGTTTTGTTTTGTTTAATCAGAATAAAACTAGAATGTGGTAAGAAATAAGTGAGAATAGTGTACTCCAATGTCATCAGCAATGTATGATTAATTTCAAACAGAAGCCTACTATAGTTCAAGGCAGTTAAAAATCAGAAGACATTAAAAATACATCTGTAAGCTTTCTCTTAAGGATATTCCTGCAATGGGTAGGAGAAAGACTAGTATATATGTGATTTCTGAAAGCATTCTTCTGGTGGTATTCAAGATGGAAATTTCCAAGGTATATACTATCCCTTGATAATATTCCTTTATAACGTATTTGTTATTGTTTACCAGAGTTATAACGCAAAATAGCAAATCAAATGACATCTCCTTTCCATATGACAATAAGCCCATCATTTTGTATCATAGTCATTTATTTTAAATGATTTAAATTATCACCAAGTAAACTGCTCCTTGATACAGAGAATTGGTTTTGACTATCATCTTGTAACAGAGTGAAATGCTCGGTCTCACTGACTCATCTTGTTTAAGCTTGCATTGTTCCCATGGCCTTCAGGCTAATAGTTCCTGCTTTTAGACATGTAGACATGCCAATCATTAGACATGCCAATCATTAGAGGGATTCTGTTTGCACCTTGGGTTTTATAAAAACAGACCCTTCCATTTTCCCTTCCCTTGACATAAAAGAAGCCAGAACTCTGTACTTTCTTAAGATGGATTTGAGGATTAAGTCTCCTGTCGTCTCTGTTGGCCCCTTCTCAATAAACCTTTCCTTACTACAAACTCTGAAGTTTTGAGTTTTGGCCTTTTGAAGCATTGGGCACATGGACTTTGGAGTGGTAACAATCTGATATATACACCGAGGGTGCCAAAAAAATTTATACAAGTGGACACTGCTCAACGTTGCTCAAGCAGTAGTTCGCCATAATCAGAAGTGGCTGGATGCTGATGGTAAACACTTTGAGCACCTCTTGTAATTGCAGAAGTCAAATGTGACTTGTATTCATCTTTTGTTATTGGTATGTATATATTATTACAATTTTAATACAGTTTTCCTTTCTTAAAATGCATATACATTTTTTGGCACCCTCTGTGTGTACGTATGTATGTATACATATATATATGTGTGTGTGTGTATATATATATACATACACACACACACATATATATAATTTAATAATGCTACATTTTCTAAATAAAATTAAAATATTTGAGTGTCATTGTATCTTGTTTCTAAGTATGTATAAGAGTGTTAATGTGTATATATAAATTTTCTGTACTTAAAAGAAAACAAAGTTAAAAAGAAAATGATGGGCAAAGAGAAAAATTTGCAAAACATAATAAATTGTTAGGGCTATGATGGTTAATGTTATGAGTCAACTTGTCAAGGCCCACAGAGTACTCAGGCATTTGGTCAAGTATTTTGGATATATCTGTGAGAATGTTTCTAGATTAACTTAACATTTGAATCAGTTGACCAAGTAAAGCACATTGCCTTCCCTAATGTGGTGGTGGTTGGGGGGGGACGACGGAGTGGCCTCATCCCATCAATTGGAGAGCTGAACAGAACAAAATGTCTGAGTTAGAGGAAACTCCTACTGCCTAACAGTCTTTTCCTTCCTTTGGACTCAAACTGAAACATCCATTCTTCTTGAGTCTGAAACCTGCCAGTGTTCAGATTGGAACTTATACTATCAGCTCTCCTAGGTCTCCAGCTTGCCAACTGAATATCGTGGGGACATCTCAGCCTCCATAAAGTTGTGAGTCAATTCCTTATAATAAATCTTAAATTTCTTCATATATATATATATATATATATATATATATATCCTGTTTCTGTGGAGAACACTAACTAACACTACAAAGCTAAGTATCTATTACATTTTAGAGATTTCTAAAAATCAACTAAGACCAATAAAATCCAACAAGAAAATGGTCAAAGTATATGAATTAGAAAATCACATAATAAATATAAATGGTCAATAAACAGGATTTAACCTCACAAATAATCAAATAAATAAAATTGAAATGAGATTCCATATTTTCCTTATCTGACAGGTCAAAAAGGTAAAAGAATAGTCATATGTATCTTAAATGTATATGCATCAGAAATGCAATGGAATAGCACTCATATACTTATGTTCAGATTGCAAATGGCACAAAGCTTTATGGAAAAGGTTTCACAGTATGTATCAAATTCAAAATGTGCATACTATTCAACTTTAGAATCCCTCTTCAGGAATTAATCTACACAAATATTCTCCCAAATATACAAAGATATATGTATGTGGATTTCAATGCTGCATGATTTTGTTACAGAAAAAGAAATGTCTACCAATGGGAAAGGTCAAATAAATTAATAAATTAAGATACATTTATACAGTTAATTGTCATGTAACCATTAAACAAATAAGTGCATCAGTATATACTGAAAAAAGTTGTCATGATAAATTGAATAGCTGAAGTGTGTGTGTGTGTGTGTGTGTGTGTGTGTGTGTGTGTGTGTGTGTATGTGTGTTATAGTTCTGGAAGGCTACAAACATATCAGGTAGTTTCCAGGAGGTCACTTTTTCAAAAGATTAAAAGGCTTTTCATTTTCACACTTATATTTTTGTTCAGTGAGCATGAGCATGAGAATTCCTAACTGGAAATGGGAAATTCTGTTAGCCAATAAAGTAAACAGCAACTCCAAGGGTAAAATTTCTACCTTATATTATATATAGATATATAAAAGGTAAATAACTTACCCCAATGTAACAAAGCCACAAAGAATTTTTGACACATCATCTTCAGAGAAGTATACCTGAAAAACAGTAAATCTAAAAAACAAAAACTCTGACGTATATACAAGCTGTCCATGGAAAATATAAAAGGAAAAGGATTATAAATAAGTTCTTCAGTTTGGATTATCTATAATACTCTGGATCAATATCAGAGAAGTATCTCACATTAAAGTATAATTATGTTATAGACTTATTCTTGTACACATGCTGTCTTACATAGTTAAAATCAGTCATGTATTCATATATGATACAATTGAAAAAAAATTATCTGTATCTTTCTATGATACTACAAAGCCAAAAGGTTATAACACAGGTAATGGCTGTATTTTTATTTCCAATAAAAAGGAGGAAATGTCCCAATATACTTTTGGAAACCCACTGTTCATTTGCAGATGAGGTAATAGTCACATTGGAGAATCATCAGAGTTATTCAAGGAAAGTTTGATGGCTTAATATATCCAAATGACAGGGTGACTTTAGAGACAAGCTTTCCCGTGAATTCTACTCAATTCAAAACACATCATGAATAAGATTATTTGTACCAATAGGTCATGAATTAGAATGCTAGTATTATTTTAATATATTGAGCTTAGATTTATAATGAAACACTAAAGGCTTTTGACAGTCCAAGCTTTTTTATTATCTCAAATTGGGGATTAAGTTCACTAATGCAAGTTAATCTGAGATTTAAAAAAAAAAAAAGAGGCCCTGAAATTAGGTGTCATGAGCCCTGGGTACCAATCTAGGTTCTTTTACTAATCACTGTAAGACTTGGGACTTCAACACTCTAGACCTCAGCTTCCTCGTCTACAAATCAGACTGATGGATGACCTCTACCATCCCTTTCAGAACAGCCCATAGTTCTGGGCAGTTTTATTTGAAAATAGTAGTCACATCTTTACAACAAAGAATATTATAAAATATTAAGTAAGAAACATATCTCAGAAGTTATATCTGATAATTGGTACCACATGATTAGCCAACAGAAAAACATGTTTGTTTATTTCACAACTTAATAACTCTTGGGAAGAAAATGGATGTGTATAAATATTGCGTAGTCTGGTAAATTTTCTTTTGAGACTATCAGTTTTTCAACAGAATTTGGGTTCTTTAATACTGACATCACAATGTTTCTTTAGGATTTCTAAAAATTGGTTCAGTTTGGAATCCTCATTTTCTAATCATATGAAATGTGTACCAACTTCTCCTAGTTTTTTATGCTACCTGTTTCTGATACAAAATTTTCTCATAAAATAAACCCAAGGGCAAGTTTCATAATTAAGATGTGTCATAGATACAACATATTCATAGACTAAATGTTTCAAATAAACTGACTAGTGACTACTTATTTAGTCCAACAATTGATTTGACTCACTTTTAACTCAACCGAATATTATCCACTGAGTTAAGTGACAAAAGAGATCAGCTGTTTTTCCTTACATAAGACAACCATTCTTTTCTTTAATGTTCCATGAAAAACACAAACTATTTTTATGGTTTGAAATCTCAGTCAGGCTTTGCTCTGATATAACAAAAAAATCTATCACAAGTATGAAAAGGGCAAAGGTGCAACCTTGAAGAGAATGTGAAAGATGGTACTTTCAATAGACTCAAACAAAGAAATGTTTATATGCATCCCAAATTGTACCAGAAAAGAATACAGGAGGTTTACAAAAACATGAATAATACAGAAAAAAAGGTGACAGAAAATTTTAAACTGTGAGGGAAAAAAATCATGCAAGGTGGAAACTAATGCTAAGGTGATGAAAATGGTCTAATATACAAAATGCCATTCATTTGAATTCACTTCCTAAGGATGAGCTATTAATTTGCTTTAAGCTTTCTCATGGTGAAATTATCCCATTATAAATTCAGAGTACATACTTGAAACCAACTCCTTAAGGGAAACATACAAACAATCCTAACACTAAGAACAGAAAGAAATTTTGCCTTACTAACTTTATAACAGGCAACATTCTCATGAACATCCTAACAGCAGCACAATTTCATGGGAATTTCGAAATTCAATAGTTTCTCACCCCCTGCATTGCCAATACCCCATTCTAAGCCACTATTATCTCTTCCCTGGAAGATCAGAAGAGCCTCCTAACTGGTCTCCCTGCTGCGGCCCCAATTCAGTCTACTCCCAATGCAGCAGCAAGAGTGGTCTTGATAACATACAGGTCAGATCATGTCTCACTTTCCCAAAACACGGCAGTACTCCCCTTTTCCCTCCTACTAAAAGTGCAAGTCCTGCGCAGAACTACAAGGTCCTGAATCTCGGCTGCCTCTCTGACTTCATCAACCACTGCCCTCCCTTTTGCTCCAGTCACCTTCTCAGAGGAGCTTTCCCTATCCAGCCTATCTAAAATTTCAACACCTTCCCGACCCCAACATATCACATCTGCTGTTCTGCTTAATTTTTTTCTCCGTATTACTGTACATTAGTGTGAATATGATTTGTTAATATTCTTGCTTATTGTCTAATTCTCTCCACTCGAATGTAAACTACACCAAACCCAGGGATTTTTTTACTATTTCCTGTTCATCATTATATCCTTCACACAAAGTAGCCTGCCTGTCATATAATAGATACTCCACATATATTAATTCAATGAATGATTGAATGCGAAAACATGACTCTTTCTTGAAATATTCTTCAAAATAGGCTGATGGCATCACACCGAGACAAAACTGAATAAAGGCAATCTTTAAAAGAGGTTCTCTAATATCAACCAGATATACCTCCTTGGGAATCTAGAGAAAATTCCAAAATGGTGATTTTTAACAATTTTTGGATATGGACGTTGTTTTTTTTTGTTTTGTTTTGTTTTTTTGTTTTGTTTTTTTTTTTTTTTTGCTGAGCCATCCTGTCACCTGTTGGCAGCTCAGCGGCAGCTCAGCTTGGGCTGGACTCGAACTGCTGTTGCTCAGAGCTCTTAACCAACTTTGAGCGAGCTCTTAACCAACTGAGCCACTCGGCCAGCCCTTGGACGTTGTTGATAATTTGGTGAGAGCAATGTACCAACTGCCAGGAAGAGGCACATACACTCAAATTAGGGCTATAATTTCAGGGGGTTGACAAACTCTCTGAAATTTATCTAAAACTCCCAGATTAAGAATTCCTGATGTAGGTAAATAAATGGAGTCCTCATTCCTCAGACAAGCTTCTGCAAGTATAGCTCCCTGAAGTGAGCCACTGATGCACACCAAGCCTTCAGGAGTTTGATATAATACTGCCTGACATCCCCCTCGAATGTAGTCATTCTATGCTGACAGTTAAAAGGAGTAGTGTGTCTTATTTGAAACATTTAAAGAAATCTTTATGAAATATACAAAGACTCATCCACTATTTGATATAAATGATGCATCCATGATACCTGGATGTGCAGGCAATCATTTAATTTGTATAACACACCAAACACAGTACACATATTAAACATATCACTAACTCTTTAGTTATTACTAAAAACTTTAAACAAAAGGAAAATCAAATCTATATATACAATGGGTTTTCAGAAGAAAACCAGAATGCTTAACTTCTATCACAGAGAGTTTTTGTGTTATTTTTATGTATCAAATTCTACTTAACTATAAAACAGAATAGCCTCAGTCAGTGTTTGAATGTGTGATTAGGCAAGAAGGAAATTAGGGGTCAACCGAGTAGCTCAGTTGGTTAAGAACTTGCTCAAGAGTGTGAGCTCTGAGCAACAGGGTCGCCGGTTCGATTCCCACTTGGGCCAGTGAGCTGCGCCAGAGCTGAGCTGCTGCTGAGCTGCCAACAGGTGGCAGGATGGCTCAGCTGGTGAGAGCATGTGCTCCTAACAAGGTTGCTGGTTCAACTCCTGCATGGGATGATGGGCTATGCCCACCCACAACTAATTGAACACAGCACTTTGAGCTGAGCAGTGCGACTGGACTTAGAGCTGAACTTGCTGCACCCTCCACAACTAAGATTGAAGGACAACAACTTGGCTGTTCCCCTCCCCCAATTCCCCAACACTGTTCCCCTCCCTCAATTTCCCCAATTCCCCAATAAAGTCTTTGGGGGAAAAAAAATAGTCACCAAGTTTTAAAAAAAAAAGAAATTATTTACAACTTGCTCCAATGATCTCAAAAGGTCTATAGGTTTGTAGAAAAGTTTGTAAGAAAAGCAATTCTGACAGTTCTGTTGCCTTGATGAATAAGCTCACTAAGCTCCATCTGCCACCAATTTTTGCTTTTCCTTTCTGCTGGAGAAATAGCCATCTATCTTTTACTTAAACAGCAACATTTAAACATTTTGTTTACATGTAAATGAAAAACACTATTTCTTCAAGTGTCAAAAACTTAACAAAATAAATATAGCCTGGTCTATCCCTAGTAACCATGTTCTTTCAAGTATGTTTACTTTTATTTCTTCACTTAGAACAGAAATTGGTCTTGTTATTCTCATCAAGTAGCTATTAAAGACGTAAATTATTTTTGAAACTAAAAGACTATATTTTCCCGTCATCCTGGCATAAGGATTTGCCGCTTTGAAAACATAATTTCAAGTATTTTAATTCCTGATATGGCTCTGATTGTGTGACCTTGTCACAAATTAACTCCTTAAGAATGCAGAGGGATAAACTATGATTCATAAACTTAGGTGCCATACAGCAACAAAGTTGAGTCAAAATAGGCATCTTACCTACAATGTAATTTAAAAACACGTACATAAATAAATTCATTTAAATATTAACTGAATATTTAGTAAAATGTAAGTGCCCACACAGGGTGCTAGCAATATATAAATTAATAATTTACTAATCATAATTTACTTTAAGAAGTAACATTATTTTATCACTTTTACATGGCAAAGTACTATAATGCCAATATGAATAAAGTGCTCTTCAGATTCAAGATGGCAAACTGAACAAATAAATGGATATTCTCTTCCTCCTGAGATGCATTTAGAATTAGAATAAAATAAGTCATATCAATCACTAGAAGAGAAAGAATGAGAGGGGACCAGGAGCAAAAGAGAGATTTAAACAAATTTCTGAAAGATGAAG